AGAAAAGCACCCTCCCCAGAGTCCCAACGCCCCTCATCCATCCATGTGGGCTAGCAGACAGAATCAGAGGGAGGGGCCAGGGTGGTGGCCTGGAAAGCAGGCTGTGCGCAGGGGCATTAAGGACAACTCCTTCCCTTGGCCCCCAGCCCCCGGCCCCACTGGCTCTCACAAGGCCTTCAAAGGCTGCCCCACCTACCCGGCACGATCTTCATTGGGGACAAAAGCAGGAACCCACCAGGCAGACAGGGAGTGGGTGTTGGGTATGGGGAGGGTCACGGCCCTTGGAGGCAGCGGCCGCAGACAGTGGTGGCCTGCGGTGGGTGGAGGGCACGGTGTGTGCTGTCAGCAGCGCCCCAGTCCATGGGGGAGGGGCAGGTGGGCAGGGGGCCCACGGGATATAAATACCCAAGGAAGGCGAGCAAGGCCCGTCACTTCCAGACTTAGAACATGACGTGCAGAGCGAGGGCAGGGGGGCCGCAGCCTTCGCTGGAGTCCAGTCTGACTGGGCGGTGCCACCCAACACCCGAGGCTCCTACCGGTGAATCTAATAATAAGAAGCCGCCTGGCGGATCCATCTCAGAACGAGGCCTGGCATGGGCATTTGGAGCTTGGGGGTTCATGTCCCCATGGGAGGAGGTGCAGCCCCGCCCTCCCCCACCCTGTCCACCTCTTGGGGTACACTTGGGAAGGGCCACCTGGACAAGGGGACGCTGTTCCCTTCCTCCCAGAGAGCCCCGCACAAGTCACTCAACACAACACCTGCCCCAGAGGGACGGGACAGCTTCCCCAAGGTCAAACCACCAGCCAGAGACCCAGGTGGCCCCCAGTGAAGCTGCCCTGTGAGCACAGGGCTGAGCCTCCCCAGCCAGGCTGCTCCCGGGGCCTGCCCTGAGCTCCACCCCAGACCCCACGCGGCCCCTGGCCTACAGAAGGCCCGCCCCACGTCCTGGGCTGCCCTGGACCTCAGGGCACTGGGGAAACAGCACATGGAGAGCACAATCTCACCCCTCTCCTTCCAGGAGGCTGGATGCCCTTGGGCCCTGGCAGAGGGCTAACCTGGAGGGAAAGGACTATATCCCATCGGTACTTCCTGTGCACCAAGCGCGATTCTATTTTAATCCTCAGGAAACACTATGAAGCAAATCCTCTGCCGTTATCACATTATGCATATGGAGAAACTGAGGCACAGAAACGTGACATGCTCGCCTGGAGTTGCATGAGGTCGTGACAGAGCCCAGGTGGTCTCTGGCGTGCGTGGTCAGCCAAACACAATGCACAGCAAAGCACACCTGGCCTCTGACTGCTGGGGTGGGGGCACCCCACATCCACACAGGGAGACCAGCAGCAGCGGGGCTGGGGACTCTGGGCCCACCCACGCCTCCTGCTTGCCAACCTGGCTTCAGAAAATCATTTCTGAAGGAAACTGGCCTGCAGCAGCCAGCTCGGGGGCTAGGCTGGGCTGGAGGAAGCCTCAGAAGAGCCCATGATTCAACAGCCAAAAGAGGACTAGCCCCTGGAGGCAGGAGTGCCCATGCAGGGTAATGGACAGGCCCCCTCTGCCCTATGGAGACCTGGGACAGGGCCTGCTGCATCCAGATGTCTCCATCCCACACCACACACGCCCAAGCAGCTCTGATGTCCAGGCCTCCCAGGGCCTCAGCCACAAGCTGCCTGGAGAGCCCAGCCCAGCCTCTGCTGGAGGCCTTGGCCCCTCCCTCCCATATGCCCGCGGTCCCCGCCAGGCCCTGCCCACCTTGGCCCAGCTGAATCAGCTCCTCCATGCTGTACCTGTCCATGGCTGCTGTGGACCAGGCAGCTCCAAGAGCTGGCAGAGGACAAGCAGGAAGGCAGGAAGAAGGGAAGGGTGGGAAGCAGAGGGAGGGCTTGCTCACGCCCAGGCGTCCCCACCCAGCTCTGGGAGGCTCCTCCTCACGGCACCCCCTGGTCTGAGAGCTGGGCAGAGGGGCAGTATAGCAGACCAACAGGTCAGACCAGCCCAGGGGGCCCAGAGGATGGGCCTGCCCCAAATCCATGGGCCTTGGCACAGCTCACAGCGCACCGGGCTCCTCTAATTTGCCCGCTGTGCCCTCCACAGGCCCACCAGACCCACACTCTCCCCTCACACCCTGGCTCCCTCAGGCCCCAGAGCAGGTCTTTCCTCCACTGACTCTCAGCCAGCTCAGTGCCAGCCCCACGGGCAAACACGACATCTCTTTCCTGTCCTGGCCTCTGTGCTCCTCCAGGGGTGGTTCTACCCAGTCGCCAGAGGACAAAGTTCAAGGTCCATAGAATTCTGCCATAGTAGCCCTGCTTAAAAAGCCCACCAGAGTTTTACAGGTATCCCCACAAACACACACACAGCCCAGACACAAAGCCAGCAGTGGCTGCAGAAAATGGGCTGGACCCATGTGTCCCACCGCCCAGCAGGACACCACAAGGCCATGGAAAAGAGGGGCAGCTTCCTCCCGGATGAGTGCTGGGTGGGAAAGTGAAGGTGCCTGGGGAGGCGGGAAAGCAATCCTCCCAGGACACGTGCCTGGGATGCATACATGCACCTGGCATACACACACCACCCATTCAGGTGGTACCTTTTTCTGTGTCCACTTTTTTCATTTTTAATCCTGAGCCAAGCAAAATGTTACTATTTGAAACATAAAATTCACATATAAAAACCCATTCCACTGGTTTTCTACCACACAAAGTAAACCTCAACTCCTGGTCACAGTCAAGGACCTTCCCATGTTCTCAGCCTCCCTCTGTCACTCTCCTGGCCCCTGCACCTGGCGGAGCCGGGGTCCCTCCTCAGTGGCCAGAGTGCAGCTTAGGACACCTCCTTAGAGGATGCCTCCCCAGCTGTTTCCAAAGCTGCCTCCCCATTGCTTGCCTCCCACCCAGTTCATCCCCAGATATTCGGGGCTCCCAGGGCCAGAGGCTCGGGCTGGGTCCAGCCAGTTTGTGGCTGACAGGCAGGTGGGTGTGGACAGAGACGGGGTGGGAGCCTTGAGGGCGGGAACCGAGGGGAGCAGACGCATCTGATGCCCTGCCGCACCCGTGAGCGCCTGGCCGGGCAGGCCACCTGACCAGGCCCTCATGTCAACTAGTGCAACGGGCCACCGTGCTCCTGACCCAGCCTTCTGCCAGGGGACTGGCGAGGGAAAGGAAGGTGTCTGTGTAGCTCGTAACTTCATCATGTCCAATTCTGAGAAGTCCAAGTGTCCGGGTGTCATCAGAATGGCCCTAGCCTGAGTGTGGGGCCATCACAGGCCTGCAGACCACGTGGCCCCTCTCTGCACTGGGCCCCAAGGACACCCAGAATCCCCCCTCGAGCAGGAATGGCCTCCAGCCCCATGGTCCCGTGCTCAGCCCCGAGGGAACCCACGCCTGCAGCCTGACTCAGCCTGGAGCCGCAGCTCATTTCCTGCTGGAAACTCTGAGCTGCCACCGGAGGCCAGGCCAGGAGGGAGGACTGAGTCACCTCTCAGGGCTGCGGTGCCCTCTGCTCTGCCCACCACAGCCACACCCAGTCCCCCTCCTGGCCACAGACAGACAAGGAAGGAAGGAGAAAGGAGGAGGGGGAGACTTGCCGGCACACCCAAGACCTGAGCTGGGGAGAGGGCTGGTCACAGAGGGCTGAGGACAGGCAGGGCACTGGCAGGCAGAAAGGCAGGGGCAGAAGGACCCCCAGGCCAGGCCCTGGCCACCAGACGCTGGCCTGCACCGACCGGGCAGCAGACAGGTCCTCTTTGACTCTTGAGGGAGACACCGTCACCCCACTGACATGAGTGGAGGAGGCCATGAGACTTGCCCATGACAACGGGGGGGCCCAGAGGCCAACCCTTGACCCCACAACCAAACTGACCATCCCAGGTGGGCTCCTGTGGTGTGGTCTGAGTGGGTCTAACCTAGACCAAGTCAGAACTCGGGTGGCCACTCAGCACCCTGGGCCTGCACCCAGGTCTCCTGACCCCCATTCACCTGGCAAACTTCTGCCCACCCTGCTAGCCTCAAACCCAGGTCTCCTTCCAAACCCATTAGAGACCAAGTTCTGCCCCAGTGGTGAGACACAGAAGCAGTGGTTGAGCCTGCCTTGTGCTGGGGGATCCAGGAAGCCCCAAGTTCTGTACCAAGGCCAGTAAGCTCTGGGAACCCATGGGCCTCAAGCTGCATGGGACATGTGTCCCCGCCCACCTCGGTCCTGCCAGCTAAGGTGCTTAGGGACAGAGGTATCCCACACAGAAAGAGCACAGACATGGGTGTTAGCAACTCCTGGGACCACTGGACCTATCCCATCCTCTGGGAGCCAGCTCCCACAGGGAAAGGATCTGCCTAGACCTCAGGTTGAGCCCAAGAGCTGACATACCCTGGCCTCTGGCCTGCCGTGATGCTCACCCAGGGGCCTGCTCTCCCCTCCCCCAGCCCCGCCCAGGGCCCCAAGGCTATCGCCAACCCCAAGCCAGCCAAGTGGCCAGTCACAATTCTCCATCTGAGCCACAAAACCACAGGGGCAGGTGTCACCCGCAATGGACAGACTCAAGGCTCAGAAAGGTCAGGCAGTTCTCCCGGCTTTGCCCCCTCCCATTCCAACCCCGCTTCTGCAAACCCCCGCCTCGTGCAGAGAGCGCCTGGGGACACATAGGCCACTAGGATGAGGAGAAGGGTGAGCCTGGTTAGTAGGACTAGGGCAGCCCTGGGGAGAGGGCAGGGCCGGCCCAGCAGGCTAACAGCTGGTCCTGCCAGTCCAGGCGCTGAAAGCCCCACCCCAGGGTGTGCCTGGGGGTGAGCTGGCAGGGGCCCCCAGGCGGGCTCCTTCCTGGACTACCCACCCCAGGGTCCTCAAGACAGGAGGAGCCACGTGGGTCCCCTCTCAGCACCCGCAGGCAGAGGGTGCGCCACCTGCTGGTGAGAGCAAAGCTCCCGCGTGGTGCTCCCCACGCCAGCCCCCGGCCCAGGCTCGGTGCCCACTTCCCATTCCCCAAGGCTGGAGCCAGGACGCAGCTGACCTGTGGGTGGGGCAGGCTCGAAGCCAGGCCTTGCCAGGCTCCCTGGGGCGGTGGCGGGCACCACCGGGGGCTCAGGTGCCCCCTCCTCGGGCTCCTTCCGGCGGTAGACCCGCCGCTCCTCACGGGCAGGATCCTCTGCTGGCAGTGGTCCCCGCTTGGGCGGACAGCCCAGGGGACCCTGCACAGCCTGCACATGGGGGGTGCGGCGTGCAGGCATCACCATGGCAACAGGGCGGCGCACTCGCTGCAGGGAGGCAGGCACGATCTCAGGCGGCAGGTGCAGGTACTGGCGCAGGTGGGCGATGCCCTCGTTGGTGAGGTACCAGTAGAAATGGCGCCAGGCAAAGGTCTCTCGCACCAGGCCCCGTACACGCAGGGAGGCCATGGCGCGCATGACCTGCAGGTTGGTGACGCCAGGCACATGGGGGTGCAGGCTGCGGGGCCGACGGTCTTTCTTGGCCACCATCACGCCCTCGCGGAAGAGCACTTCGTAAATGGCCCGCAGCTGGTCCAGCGGCATGAGCATGCCGGCCACCATGGCTGCCGGGAGCGGTGAGGCAAGGGCAGCGGGCGGGGCACAGGGAGGAGGCCCGTGGAGGCACAGGGTTCGGCAGGCGCCGGCTGGCAAGGCAGGCAGGCCCGGCACGGAGCTCGAGGATGCCGGCCGCGGGGCTCGTGGCGCCTGGCTCCCTGGCTCGAGGCGGTCCCTGCCGGCACTGCGGCCTGCCCACCCGTGCGCGCTCCCGCCCGCCCTCCAGGACGCCCAGGCCGGCCCCCTCTGACTCAGCAGCACGGGCGGCCCCTCCCACCCCAGCCACGGGGCCCCTCGCGGAGTTGGGGGGCGCCTGGCAGTGGCCTCCACGCCCCGGCGGGCAGACTCTCCCCTCCCAGCCCCCCGGCAATGTCAGAAAGTACTTCAGTTTCTACACACTCCCTTCCAGGTTTCTCAGACTAGGGCAGGGGGGCCGGGAGTAGCCATGGACCAAGAAAGGGTGGCAGAGAGGGGAGAAGGGGTCCCCAGACAGGGTACCCGATTCAGAGCTGTGGTCTCAGGGCTTCAAGGCCTCACAGGTCCGAAGGGGGCCTCTCGGGTCTGAAGGAGGACGACTACTACGTGTGGGGCGCTCAAGGTCTGAGGGAGGAGCATGGAGTTGGGGGTGGGGGGGTGAGATGGGTCTGAGGGGGACCACAGGGCAGCTGCTTCAGCACACGGGCAGGAGGGCTGAGAGCACCACTGGCTGCTGTCCATCAGGCAGGCTAGGGGGCAGAGGACAGCCCCCCCACCCCGCAAATGCCAGGCCCCAGAGAGCGGCCATCCTACTGAACACTTCGCATACCAGGCCCTATACTCTGCGCCCCTGATCAGAGTCCACTTGGAGTCCACAGCGCTCTGGACAGGGCACAGGGTGGAGGGCTCTGAGTGGAGCCACCACCTGCCCCCAGGTCAGCTGTTGGAGGCCAGAAACTCTCAGCTGCCACAGGGCAGCACAGCCACCAAGCACCTGTCCTCCAGGCCTGGCACCCCTGCTGCCACGAGACACCCCGCCCTGGGCCACCTGGGCCTGTGTCTGTTGGGGACATTAGACCTGTGGGTCAGCTGGACAGAAGCAGGGAGAGGAACCCCAACGGAAGGGCCCCAGGGAGGGAGCTCTGCCCCCAAATCCCACAACTGCGCTCTAAACATGGGTATCCTGTGCCCCATTCCTGGCTCCCACACCGCGCTGCATCCACCCGCAGGGGCTCAGGACTCCGGCTCTCCTCTTACCCTCCAGTCACACCCACCCATTCCCACCAAGAAGGGCTGACCCAGGACGGATCTTCCTCAGGGCGAGGAATAGGGCGGGCGCGCTGGCGGAGGCGGAGGCGGGCACGCAGCCAGCCAGCCAGGCTGGGGCGGGTTTATGGGGCCGTTGCCATGGCCATCCAAACAGCGGCCCCAACACACACACACACACACACACACGCACGCACGCACGCAGGCACGCAGCCCTGGCAGAGGTGGCGGTGGAAACCCCGGGCACAACGTGGGTGTCCGTCCGGCGCTGAGCTCCGCCCACCTTGCGGCGGACAGGGTAGGGGCAGCCGGAGTAAGGGCAGCCCATTAGCGAGCGCTGCGGCCTCATCCCTTCAGCCCAGCAGCTCCTGCTGACCCTCCCGCCACCAGGGCCGCGGCTTCAGGATCCGGAACCAGCTGCGGTCCTGGGGCCCGCCCGGCCTGGTGCGGGCAGAAGGCCTACTCTCCTGACCTGTCCGTCCACCTACCCACCAGGGCCGCACTCTCCTCCTGTTCTCCCTGAATGCCCACCCCACACATCCACGCCATGGCCCTGCTGCGATTCCCTGACCTAATAATCACCCCAAATCCCCAAGCCCCCAACCAAACCAACTCATGCCCCGCCTCCCAAAATGATTGCCAGCCACACCCAAAGCCCCCCAAACTCTGGGACCTAAGATCTCTCCTCCCTCACACAGGATTGGACGGGTCTTTGGCCAACCCACTCAGCCCCGTTCCACCCCTAGCCGCAGCCGCAGATGGGGGCGTGGCCACAAGGAGGGGCGGGACCAGCGAGGACACCCCTCCAGCCAGCCAAGGCGCCCAACTGAGGGGGAGGAGGAGCCGGGAGGTGCCTGGAGCAAGATGTTCCCGGCCAGCTACGGCACACCTACCCGCGCCCGCTCCGAGACGGGGTAGGGAACCCCCCAGCCAGGTCCCAGGATTGGGAGAACGCCCCACTCTGCCGGCCCCCACCCTACGGGATCCTCAGCCGCAGTAGCTGATTCAGCACCGGGAGAGCCGGGTCGGGCCAGCACGGCGGCCCTCTCCCCCTGCACTCCAGGGCAACCAGTCGGGGCCCTGGAGGTTTCTAGGGCAACCAGTCGGGGCCCTGGAGAAGCCCCCGGCCTCCCCACCCCAGAACAAAGAGCCGCAGTGTGGACTTGCCCGGGGCCCGCCCGACTGGCGCCTCCCCAGAGCGATCCGCACGGCCCTGCCCAGCCCCTCGGACGCTGGGCTGCAGGGCTGCAGGCGGGGCGAGGGGTCAGCTCCGTCGGGGAGGAGAAAAAGCAGAGCTGCAGCCAAAGCCTGTTTCCACCCCCGCCCCGCCCCCCGACACTCGTGCAGGGAGCCCTGCAAGGGCTGCAGGTCTGCAGGTCTGCAGTTACCCCCACCCACCACCAGCCCGGGACAGTCACCGCTCCAGGTGAAGCCTCGTCGGGAATAGGCCTGGGGTCTTCCACGGCCAGCTCCCAACCCCCAAAGCTGCCTCCAGGGCGGACAACCCTAACCGTTGCCCCCTGGGGATCTGAACCCAGGCCAGTCCCCAAACCGCACCTTTGAGGGAGCTTATCTCGTGCTGGATTGCTCGCGAGGGGTCCATGTCTCCACCAGGACAGAGAGCGTTGTCTCCGCCGCCACGCGGAGTCCAGCCCCGCACCGCACTGACCGGGCCAGAGCCGCAGCCTCAGGGAGGAGCCAGGCGCGCGGGGCGGGGCTTCCCGGCAGGGTGGTGTTTGGGCTGATCGATGCGCTGGGCTGGCCAAGCGGGCGCATGCTCCGGGCAGTGCATTGCCCCCACCCTCCAGCACCCCCTCCAGGCCGTCTGACCCCGCTACGTCCAGCGCACTGCCAGGCCACCAGGCCAGACCTAGGCGCTCTCGCCGGCCCACCCCTCCCCACCCACAGTCTCCCGGCCTCCCTCGGAGCGCCCTCCGGGACGCTCGTGCACGTGGCTTCCCTGGCCTCGAAGCCGCGCCCGCTCATTCCCTGCAGGAGGCACCCACTAGTCCGGGCCTCCCAGTAATCTCCCTAGCAAGCACCTTGGGTACGGAGGGAGGTCGGATCCCAACAGGATAGGTGGCTGGAGGCCACCCGCGGTCGAGCCCTAGGCCCCTGGAACAGCCCCTTCATCACCACCTCCATGCCCCAGCAGTTTTCCGCACACCACTCCTCCACCTGCAGACCCCACTCAGCCACCTCACCCACCCCATGGCCCAGGACGCCTTCTATACCGACTCCATGACAACATGCCCTGTGGGGGCTCTGGCCTGCGCCCCGGCCTCTGCCTCTCCCACTCGGCAAGTCCTGAAGGGGCTTGTCTTGGGGTGCTCTTGTCTTCCCAGCTCTGTGCATATACCACCCTCTATCCGCCACCCCCCAGCAGCTCAGGCCCCCGTGGACAGCCCCACAGGCCTTGGAAGCTCTGCCTTACAGTGTGTCCACTGCCACCAGAGGTCCAGGCCCCAGCATGCCTCGTTTCAGGGTTCCCCCACCCCTACTGCTAACAGGGTCAGCCTCCTGGGCCACAGGAGTGGGTGTCTGTCACCGCCTGCCTCCTGGGGAGAATGCTGCCACTGGCGCTGGAAGTATGGGCTAGCTCTGCTGCACTCACTGCCACAGGAAGCCACAAACGAATGTGTGGCCCTTGCCCACACCTCAGGCATGCACCCCTGCAGCGTCAGCATCAGGATGGGAGCCTCAGCACTCTCCTATGCCACCCTTGCTCTCTGTACCAGGCTGTAGGGGACAGAGACAGCTTCCACGAGATGTGGCCAGCCTGCATCAGTCTTCTGCCAGGCCTTCATCCAAATCCTACTTCCATCCTCACCCCAGACCCCCACCCCCACCCTGAGCCTCTCAGGGACACACCCTGCCTGAACAGGCTGCCTCCGTCAGGTGCCCACCCTTACTGCCCACACGCTGGCTGTGTGTCAGGGCAGGGCTTGGTGGAGGATGTGGCACTGGCACTGGGGCAAGGCCAGCAATGCCCACGTGCTCAGGCTGATAGGTGAAGCAGGTGCAGCCACAGCCCGATTGAGGCCTGGAATTCTGGGGTCCCTCACCCCATCCCTGTCCTTCTTAAACTCAGCCAGTCCAGGGCATGGGCAAGTCTCTGGAAAGAACTTGGGGTAAAAAGTAAAGTGACAAGACAGGATTTTGTGGTTCCTTACACCTAAATTCCTATTAATTTTATTAGCCACTTCTGGATAAGCCTAAATTTCGCCTGTAACTGAACAGTACTTCCTTATTAAATGTCAAATGAAAGTGAATTAAATAAACAGATCTAAAAACTATGGAAAAACAAAAAGTCAGGGCTTTTTCTATTTTTAAAGCTACATATAGTTGAATTGTGAATATGAGATCACAGTTCTGGCTAGTGAGAAGGAAAAGGCGGAAGGCAGGTGATCGGGTCAACCCGGAGGATCAGGCACAATTGGGTGATTTTTTCCTAACTTTTCAGAACCACACAGACAACTGCTCAGAGAAAGAATGTCCCAGGCCCTTGCCTGCCTCCCTCAGGTCAGGCTCCCACCTGTGAGCGGCCACTGTGGTCACCTGCAGCCACTTGCAACTAGGGGCTCTAGAGAAGCAGTGTTTGCTGGAAGGTCCGGTGAAAGAGCCCCTAAGTCTGCCCTGGTCACCTGCCCCAACAGCAGCCACATAGTGTGGCCTTGGAAGTGGGGCACAGCCACCCTGGGAAGGCTCCACAGGACACAGTGAGCCCATGCCTTCGTTCCTTCTCAGAGCAGGCTTCCTGGAGGAAGGGGCAGTTAATG